AAAATAAGACGTGCCACTCGACGTGAAGCAGCAAAAGGAGCTAGCGGAAGTGCAAAATGCCCCTCCCAAGTCGAACAGCGCCCTGTTTTCTTCCAGAATCATTATTGGAGATTTATTTTACAATGTGCTTTTCAGAACTATGACAAATGTTTCACGGAGTTTTTTCAAAAATTTATTGCCTCGAACTATCGACACAAATATGCAATAAATCCGTGCGACAGACTTCACCAAGCCTATCGGGAGTGTGTGGAAGAGGTACCTGACTTTTTCTTTAACTTGTGCTTCACTTCTGGAGTGAAAGGGGGCAGCCGGGCACGGGAATTCAGATAACGATAATAGTCCAGTCGAGAGAATGCTCGCAAAAGATAGGTTATGGGAGTTTTTCGGAAAATTACGTCATTTCACCGTTCTCCAAACTTTAAAGAATCTACAGGTCCAACCAAGTTGCCAAAACCAGAGAAACTAGGGATTTACAGGTCTGCGCGTTAGAGGGCGTGTCAAGTGAGGCTGGGTTTGGCGCGCCGACAGCCCCTACTCTACCAATTGTTGAGGCGGACCACAAAAGGTAGTGGAAAACGATGTATAAGAACAACACGATACATTCTTGTCCCTTGCTAGCTTCAGCAACTGGTGAGAAACGGGTTTAGCGTCGCGCTGTACCCATCCTTTCTGGCACACCCCCTCATCCACAGCGAACAAGACAAGCGAATTGCTTCCCTCCCCTCTTCCACCTCAGCCGAAATAATGTGGGTGTAGATTGTGTCGCGGGGAAAAGGGGCGGAGTTATCCGGGGGGGGCATGTTATGGGGTCCGCGGTGTGCAATATATGTGCGTTGGGCGCTTCGCGCAAGATTGGTAAAAAAAAGCCGTCTCGCGGAATAATCCTAAGTAAGTGATACCGGGCGCAGCCGTAATGGTGGTTATTCTGAGTCTTACCCGTCATATCAAATCCGGGATTTTTATCCCCCTGAAATCACTGTGCAACACCTCCTCCACTTGATTCAACGGGATTCTCAATTGCCTTCAAAATTTCGGTCACCAGTTCAACGTAAGTGTTCTTTTGGTCCTGTTTCGAGTATGCCTCCCTTCGGGGAGAAGCGCTACATGCTGCCTCCAATGTTCATCGTCTACGCCTTTTCATATATATTCGTTTTCGCTGCGCACTTTGGGGTGTTTCAGGGGAAGGGAAGGCGCAGCACAGCCTATTTTCTACCAATGGTTCTCTCTTACTCGCTGCAATAATTCGTGAGAAAGGTTGGCCCCCGGCCAAAATCATCAGCGCCTATAACCGACCGCCCGCGTCTCCAACGAAAACTACAGTAGTTACTCTAATGCCTAAAGGTCATGTTTTAAGTAGGTCTGTCTTTTTGTGCAGCTACGCACGCCACAAATTTGTTTTCGTGTTTTAGAAACTTGCAACCGCTAGGCCGTTTGAGATCGATATTGCTGAAGTACAGAAGGATTTCTTGAATACCGAAGGTGACAAATTACGGGATAGTCAGGAAGGGAAGTAGTGCTCTTCATTTTATGGACCGTATTTAGTTTTTCTGTTGTTTATACTTGTGAGTGTACATTGTGATATGTTGTTGCTACTAGTTGACTACTTTTTAAGTTGCTATCAGTTCTTGTTGTTGTTAGAAATGTTGTTATAGAAAATAAATATCCAAAAAACTTCACATTATAGACAGATTTTGGAACTACTGGTCTGATCCGATACCTCATACCCTTATTGCCCCTTGGTTTTCTTTTACATTTCCAATTTTTGCAAGTGATTCAGCTTCGTCCAGTCGATTTCCAGGTGTAGTTAATGGAAAGTCTTCAGTCCAATTTACCGCATCCTCAAATTATTTCTGATTCTGGAGAATCACGATTCAACCAGCTAGAACGCACATTGGAACAGTTTCAGGTTCTTACTCTACTTTTGCAGGGGCCTACTTTCACGTATTCTCTCAGATTTGAGTCCTCTCCTCGCTTCTCAGCGTTTTATTTTGGAATAACACTGAGATGGGAGAGCTAATGAGGTTTTTTTCTCCAGGAAAATGCTCGTCACTTGGGCGTAATTGCAACGGATTTTGGTGCGAGGAGTCAAGAGCCCTTTAATCAGAAAATTCACACGCTAGTTTCAGGACTGCAGGTACTTTTCTTACTTTGTACGTTTTTGTACTATTTTCCCTTTGGAACTAGTGGCAAGTTTCACGTTAACTGCGCGACCGGTCGTGAGTTCAAATCCCGGATCGGCTCCTGCTCAAGCCAAGCCAACTTTTCTACTCTCGGGGAAGGTAAATCGGAACCAGATTTATCTGGGAGGGCAAAAACACTGACTTGTACATCGGCTGGCCACCGCAAGTCATTGTATAGGCCACATCGCATTCAATAAGCCACTACGATTCTGAATGGAAGTAGAATGCGTGCCGCATCCCACAAAGGGATTGATCAACGGCGAAGACTTTATCCTAATTTTTCCTTTAATCTTCGCTATTCTTCATTCATATTGTTTTTACTAGGAACTGGATCAAATGCGAAGTCAGTTCATGGATGTGAAAGTTCCACTAGAGCTCCTCGATGTGTTAGATCAAGGTAAAAATCCTCAACTGTATACAAAGGAGGTTCTGGAAAGGACGTTGTTAAAAAATAAGGAGGTATGGTTTCTATTTCATATGCAGTCGTTCTGTACCCTATGCATATGAATTTTCCAATCTTTATGTAGCATAGTAGAAGTTGATTTGTGGTCTGTGAATAATCCTTGTTGCTTACTGGACCTATTCTGGAGATGATGTATCAGTAAAAGGCTGTCCGGTAGTCAGATCAAGCCTTCTACCCCGAATTCTGCAAATGGAAAGGGCGTGGCTGCGCCTTCCACCTGAACATTGCCTAAGATTCGTTTTTCGTGGAATATATGCGTTTCAATCACTATTATTCTGTTTCGTGGCAGACATTACATGATAAGAATTTCCAGAACAGCAACATTCTACTTCAAACAGTCGCTGCCCTGTTCAAATGAAGTACACAGCCACCCCCATTCCACCTGGGATATGAACCCATGTTTCCGAGTGTGAAAAACACATTAGTGACATTTATGAATCCGCCAATTCGTATTATGAAAGCATACTTTTTCAAGCCCTTGGGTCGAATGGTGTGACGTCTTGGGGTACGTATCGCCTTCGTACATCGATTATCCATAAACGCTCTCTTGTAGACACTGACTTGTTTATGTCTGGATCACAACCATCCACGTGCGCCGCTGGCCATGCGTTGTTTGTGATTGAGGAGGGATAAGTTCAGGCGACAGGGGACCGAGGGGCATTTTGCATTCTCCTTGCTTAAGTAGTGCGGTTCAAATATATTCCTGGGAATCTGTGGAATCTAATGAAGCAATAGAAAAAAGAAGCAAGTCCTCGTTAAGCCATATGTAGAACCTGTCACTTCACGAGCTCAGAGTTGTCCAGATGGCGCTCAATATTTTAATGTGAAGTTAGGGGAGTTACAGCGAACGTAGAAAATGCACCCCCCCCCCCCCCGGTCGCCGAACCTGCACCTGGAAGCTCTTCGAATTTGCAATTTCGTGGTAAACTCCCCTCAGCTGCGTCCAACTTTATTTCCATCAAGAACTCGTAAACCGGTAAATTGAGCGTCATAAGAATTCCATGCTGCGCCTTTTGAAAGACTTGAGCAAGAAAGCCTGAATACACAATACCCTCCGGAAAACAGAGACATCATGGAAAATAATTTTCCCTAGCTTCTGCAGCATAGATTTGTATACTAGGTATTTACTTATTTATGGTTACAATTGCGATAATTTTGATCTGGTTCGTTCGCGACTGACATAAAACTAATCGATCGAGTTTTTTACCCGCAGCTACGATGTTACTCGACTTCGGATATCGCCATACTTCATCCTTTGGTAGGACTATGTCGCTTAAAAGAAACAGCGTGTGGATGCAGCTTGATTAATTCAGCCGTTATGTCCATTGGGGCCAATCCCATCTTTCGGCCCCAAAATGCACATCACAGGTATCAGCGGCCTTTTGATCGATTTACGAACTGCGTCGGGCTGCAGGTCTTGAGTTGGACTCAATTCGTGCGAAGGTGAAGGAGTCGAGCAGTTCTGTGGAGGAGTTCTCTTACCAACTATACGTATGATTCATTGTGGCGCCCCATTAGTTCATATTGGTAGTTGTCCAGTAGTGATATTGGTGGCTTTTATAGTCTAGGGCGCAGTTCGATTTGAGCAGGGGGGAGGGGCACTTTACACTTTCGGCACTTCCCGTCGTCGTGTAGTCTTGATGTAGTATCTTTAAATCTTATGAGGCCATGAAGTGATACCTAGGAATAGAGTGAATATAGATTGCGCCTGGAACAGCCGTCTGAGGTCTGAGGGCCTCACTTGATCAAACTTTCTGCAAAGAATATTTTCACAGAAGTTCCTCTTGAAGCATCTTGATCCCTTCGATTGACTTCCCCTTTACTAGCAAGTTTTTTTTGGGATTGTAATCATTCCTTTAAAGTGTCAGTCAAGGTAATGTATTACTTTGTGAAGCCCTCACACACTTTTGCTGTTTCAGGGAAAACAATCCACAAGTCAAGTATTTTCTCCACAGGACCTACACAGAATGTGATCCTTTCATAGTTGGAGAGTGAGTCTTAAGTCTTTTTACTATAAATTTTCAACAAATTGTAAATTACCATCATTACATCGAGGAACGGCAGCATCAGTTTTCATTGTATCATTCCCCCTCTGTTCTTTGCAGTGTTTAGCTCTATCTATTTATTTACACGTATTATTTCGCGGTTCGCGCGCTTTTTTCAGACCACTGAAAACATTTGTAGAGTTTATGACGGTCGCCGGTCTTTTAGGTCTGCTGAAAGGTCCTCTCTGACTGGTGTCGCAATGATTGTTCAATAATTTTTGCATTAATTACCTCGAGGATTCCCTGTTTAACCTACTCGTTTTTTTCCGTTTTCTCAAAAACTGCTGATGGGAAGGGGAGCTCACGAAATCTCAAGGTTCTTGGTCAGTGATGGATTCTAATTCACTTCTGAGTTACGACCTCTCTAAACGTGACCTCAGCTCGTTATTGTGCAACTGCCCCTGTGAATGCAATTTCTTAAGTTGTCGTGACTTACTGGTAATCTGTTTGCTGATTTTAAGGTATACCTGGCTCCGCCATCGTAAAAAGCGTGCATCTTGGCGATCGAAACATCAAGTGCTTTCAATGATAGAAGAAATGGCGATTGGAGGAGATTATCGTCCAGGTTTAGCTCTTTGTGATACTGTCTTGACTATTTTGAATTCGCACAAACAAGTTAGGTCCATAGCATGTTTTATTCATTAAGGAATGAAGCGCGGCGTGAATAGGCGTCTCCCGCGTGGCCAGGAGTTATGGGACACTGAAACAATTGGACATGATATTTTCAAGGTATTTTTCCCAGAGGATTCCAATTTTTTCGTCTCTCTCGAGTATATCAAGCTCTTATTCCTATTAATTCGTTATCTGTAGGTACACAGTAAGTGGAAGGCTGATGAAGAAGATTTGGACATGCCCCAGTCACATAAACATCCAAATTTTGTATATAGGAAATATTGAAGTAGTGTCGTTCTTTAGGTTATAGATTGTTATAATGTTCCGCTGTTCATGTTTTGAGAATAAAATTCAATTTACTACCTGTTTGATTATGTGCGCAAAGTAGGTACACAAAGTGGATAAAGATCCGATGAAAACTGTGCCCGGTTTTTTTGTTTATGCAGATGGAATTTCCATTGTAGTTCAGTCCTTATGAAGCCAATATAAGTTAATTGCAAATTGTACACAGCTCCGAGGGCGGGTCCCATCCATGTGCGAGGTGAAGAGGTACGCAGCTGCAGTAGGGTACCACTTTTTCCGCTCAAAGTGGACGGGAAAGGGGCTAAAGGGCATTGAAGCTCGGCTGCGTATTCTGACTCCGCCTAGCTATGCTGATGGTGCAGCACTTGCATCAGTACCAAATCCCGCCGCGAACATCAGAGGTACACTCTGCTTCGCTGCGGACGGTTGGGCGTGTCAGCCAGTATGAGTGTGCACAGCGTCGAGGCCGTTCTCTGCCTTCTTGTTGAAGCGCGCATGCGACAAAAAGTGGTAGAAAACGAGTAATACGAACGATATGATACAGCATTGTCACTTGCTCGCTTCAACAACTGGTGGAGAACGAGTTTGGCACCGCGCCAAACGCAGCCGCACTGACACGCCCAACCGTCCGCACAGAGAACTACAGTCGTCATCCTTGCACTTGATAGGGGCGTGTCGGCGAGAAGGAGCGTGCACACTGTTTGAAGCCTTCTCAGCCTTTTCGTTGAAACGCGTATGCGACAAAAAGTGATAGAAAACGAGTAACACGAAGGATATAATACAGTAATGTCACTTCCTGGTTCAACGATTGGTGCAGTACGGGTGCGGGCGACCGCGCCGCACGCAGCCGCACTGACATTGACTATCAAGTGCAAGGATGACGACTGTACAATAGAGAAGAGCCAAAACGTGATAGGACGCAAAGAAGTCAACGGTTCAACCTTTCCAGGAACTTCTGGTATCAGTTGACAGACCTGGGAAGGACATGAAGCACAGTGTCTTGTATGGAAATCTATCCGATACTTGACCCCGGGACCGTGTACGCGGGCGCTTTCATCGTTAGACCACATCGCTAAATGAATGATGGTCGACGATATATCGGGTGACAGCTCTGAAAAAACTCTGACTGTCTCCAAGCTTCCTCTTCTTTTTCATGTTTTCGGGGCGCTCCCACAATTGTTTCTTCTCTGGCATGAAGAAGAACGCTTTTTGCGTCTCTCTCGATTAATTTGTTGACGGGCGCTCTCGAACCACTTGTCACTCTGGTTGAAAAAGCACGTTTTTTCCGTTCCAGCGGATTCCTCCGTTACTCCTCTGATTTTGCTTTCTGCAGTCATTCGGGAGAAGCTGCCCCCACTTAGCCGTAATTTTGATAGATTTCCAATTTTCATCCATGTTCTATATTGCAGTAATTTGTAATTTATCTAGATAAAATGACGGGAAAACTTTTTAGTGAGGTTGTGAGGTCGTGTTAAATAAGTCTCACTTACGAAATGCATCGGAAAGCTTTGGTAAGCGAGTAGAACAAATAAGGACTAACTTATGAACAGCGCTGGACAATAAGTAAATTATAGCCCATTTTCAATATGACAAAATAGACCTTTAGCCGCTGATCAATCCCCTCCAGGGAGGGCATGCATTGCACGTCCATTTAGAAATGGCTATTTTAACGCGACGTGACCCACAGTGTAGCCGAGGGGGGGGGGTCAGCTAATGTACAAGTCAGTGTTCTTGTCCTCTCAGACGAATCTGGTACCAGCTTCCCATTCCCGGAGAGTAGAAGGTGTGGTTGGCGTGAACGGAAGCCGATCTAGGATTTGACCCCGTGGGCCACTTACCACTAAACCACCTCTGCTGGCTATACATCAATACTAATTCGATGGCATCCGTTAATAGCCAGAAGTTACTGGTCCTACCAAAATGAGACCCGTTAGCTAACATGAACTAGCAAAAGGAACCAGCAAAAGTGAAAAATGCCCACCCCAAGCCGAACAGCGCTGGTGAGATGCTTACAGGTGAGATGTATCACATCCCACATGCACTATGTTAGTGAAAGTCTCGTTCCATAAGATCGTCTCTAACCGGATTTCAATCGTTAGCTGGGGGTTAGAGCGCCGGGGTCGACCTACCGCGGCGTCTTCACTAACGACGTTTTTGGTTGTCAGTGTAATTTTCAAACACGTTTTTATTCATATCGTATACGTGCCCTTCCCATCGGAATGAGCATATCAACCGTGTTCCTTGTGTCGCTATCAGATGCTACCGTTTTCTCTCAGATTTCACCTCTGCTTTGCATCGATTTCTACTGAACAGTTGAGGTGTTGTCCTAAAGCCTCATGGGGACGGAATGACGCCCAAATATTTTCAATTCCAAATCCAGAAGGCTCAAAAAAAAGTTCACAAAAATTCCGCGCAATCTTTTGATAATAGGGTTAGCTTCAGGAGCTGTCAATAAAAACTATTGACGTTGACTTTTCATCTATTTTAGCTTTTGAATCAAAATCTTTATCTGAATTGTTGTGAACCTTGCTTGTTGTGAACCTTGTTCTATCAATTTGGCTTTGGTTGTTCGCTTTGGCCGAGTTTGGTATCACATGGCTTGCTCTCTTCAACCAATGATCAAGGCCAAATTTTGAGTGGTAACGTAGCGTTCATTACTGGTGCAACCTTCAGCGCCTGTTGAGTTTTTCATTGATTAAGCGTTTGTTATATTTCTTTCCCCTGTTTGTTTTTCTCAGAATAAGCGTAAATATAAAAGAAAAGAGACGTAAAGGTACCAAAGGACCACATCTTTAGTATCATGGAGTGCTATCAAACGACCACATGGAAGGTCTAACCATAAGTGCGATCAGGGCACATCATTGGTTGGGGATTTTAGTCGAGTCTTTACGACCCCCACCTTTTTTTGGGGGGGGAGGGGGTGGTACGACCCCCCCTCTCTCCGGTCGAATCGAGCCGTCGAGCTGGGGGAAGCAGGCAAATCACAAAAAATCAACCTCCGCTCCTACAACACCAACACGTAATACGCTCCCCCCCCCCTCTCAACTACGAGCATTGACGACCCCCCTTTTTTTACAACGTCCGTGAAGCGAGAAAAATCAACTATCAAAATAAATTTTTCCCAGCCCAAATACGACCCCCTCTCCTGGCGGCCAAATACGACCCCCTGTTGGGGATTCCCCAACAACGATGTGCCCTGACTGCGATGCTCTCCAGAAAGATATCGCTCACTGGCAGTTGTACCACAGTGAGTGCAACAGTCCCATCGAGTAGGGGAGGGGCACAGTTCGACGACGGGGTGGGACATTTTGCACATTCGCTGCTTCACTAGTTCTAGTTTACAGTTCAATTTTGATGGAACCTGTTGACTCGTGTGGAGCTGGAGCAAGCTCGTCGAGCCACCATGGATAAAACCTGTCAACTCTTGTGAGCTCATGAAATAGCTCTCTAGATGCTTTGACACATCGATAGGAAGTAGCAAAAGTACAAATGCCTCCCCCTCTCGTCCGTTGTCGCACTGTGGCCTTGGTATGCTTTGGTTCTAACCATTATGGCAATTGAAATGTTATTGGTAACTCAGTGAAGAGGAACTCGACGTTAATCTGGATCCTGCTTCTACTTGGTTTCTTCCTTCTTCCTTCTTATTCTTCCTTACCAAGTCTCCTAACTCGTTTTATGAGCGAATGTACAGTCTTGTTCGCTGCGGATGATGGGGCGTGTCTATGAAGCGGGGTTTGGCGCCGCGCCAGCAGCCCGCTCTCTACCAGTTATTGAAGCGGGTGAGCGGCAATAATTGGTGAAAAACTACTACGAAAAAATCGTTCAGTCTTGTCGCTTGCTGAAAGAATAAAAAAAAGACAAAAAACGGCACCTGTCATCCGCAGCGAACAAGACTGTAACGTCCTGCGCGGCTGTAACGTTCCAATCAAGGCGTGACTACTCTGGTTTTTCGAGCACGATTGATGATAGGTCCATTCAGGTCGCATAACCTCGTTCCTGTTGAATTTTTGCAAAGTACGACCATCTCCTGACTTTTTTCCTTTGATATATCCCCTTTCACCTGCCTGCGATCTCACCTAATCAAAATTTCGCTATCGGGCAGAGGGGGGGGGGAGGGAGGAGAATTTACCTGTTTCTGTCGAGGCCAGATACCCTTTCCCGCAATGCTTTGACGATAATATGGCATGGGTGTAATGCCTTCCTATTGTGAGGAGGTCCGCAGCAGCAGACCACTTTCGCCAACTGAAAATGAGTGGCAATAGCAAGAAGGTGTGGCTTGGGACTGACCACGCCCATTCCACCGCATGGAAAACACTTATCTCGCTCGTCCGTGTACCCTTGCTCTTCATCTATCTTCTGAACGTCTCTTAACCGTGGGCTCGAACAATCCTCAGAGTCACTGGCAAAATAGGGCCTTATTGAGGGCATCTGTACTTTTTTCAAGGGAATGCTATTTGATGCGCTCAATTTCATATTTTGACTTTACCAGTCGTTCAGTTTGCGACCAGTTCTACTGCCGTAGAGTATGCCTCAGTGGTCTCTTTTATAAGTTAAATGAAAGCCCATTTCAGTGATCGCCATCAATGCGACGGAAGGTTTTGCTGCTGTTCTGCACCGTCATTTCTTACGTCAGAGGTATTTGGCGAATTTCTCCTTCAAGACGCTAAATTGGGGTCGTTGGTCGTGTTTGGGTAACTGGTACGGACAGAAAACGAAAACTGGAATTTAGGTGCGTTGGTGGACAGAGACTATCTTACAAGGACAGCATGCGAACGAAATCCGAAACTCTCAATCTGTAAGCCGCCTGAAGACAATCTGTCACATAAGCCGGCTGAAGAGAGCGTAATACGTAAGATTTTATTTCTGCTTGGTTTCCTATGAACCTAATTACCCTTCTGGAATTGTAGAAGGTAATACCCACCGCGGTGGAGGTTGTATAGTGGCAAGTTGCCCCGCGCGCGAGGGTTAAATTGTGGATCGGCTCACGCATAGGCCAGCCAAGCATTCCACCCTGTGAGCACGGAAAATTTTTACCAAATTTACCTGAGGGATAAGAATAGTGGCTTGTAGATCTGCTGGCCCCTGCAGGTAATTGTATAGGCCACATCGCATTCAATAAGTCACTATGATTCTATCTGGAAGTAGAGAGCGTGGGTATGAACTGTACATGGACCTGCAAACGTATACCTGTGTTAAAAGTCCATCCGGCCCAATACAGTGAAATGCAGGGTCATTCAATAAAATATATCCCTCAGTTTGGCTCGGCGAGGGCAGCGAGTAGTTCTAAGCGAAGACTGCACAGGCCTTCTTGTGAAGACCTAGGAATTCTTGAAACCAAACTGGCAAAAGTTAAAACGTCCCTCCCAAGCCGAACAGCTCTTATATAAATGCTGTTGAAGGCCTGTATGAATTTGGTATCTGATAATCTATTACAGAAGGATAAAGGATCGCAGGCACGGGGTGCTTTTTGCGCAGTTCTATCCGTAATCCATATGTGCGGCTCCAACGCCTGCAAATCTCCATTACCTGCCGTTGCTTGGAGAAATGCAAATCATTTCTTGTAGCCTGTCTTTGATCATTAGCTCGGCTACCATTATGCACTTATGCAGTTGCTACAGCTTTTTCTGAGGACACTCCACGATGGCTGTGTGGGCGGAGTCAGGCTTACTGTGTCTTTCTTTTCTGACGCAAGTTTCCAGTACTTCGGAGAGAGGAGGGAGTAACGAGACTGGCATAAACGGAGACTTGTTGCATCCATATGATGACATCAGGGCATTCAGTGGTGTAGAATTGATAGCATGTCAAGGGAACACAACCCGGGCTTTCCTCCTGGATTACTCTGAACACTTGGAAGATCTCGAGCACTTCAAATGGCTCAGTATCTCTGAGATGGAGGGGCGTGACGGCGTGCTTCATTTGAACCATGGTTATGGCTACTGTCTTGGGCAATGATTCTGCCGCGCAAGGACAAACGTAGTTATGTCTCTGTTCAGCACGAGACATGCATAAAAGTTGTTCAAATAGAAATTTGGCACTATTTACCCTTTACTGCCCCAGCCATCCGAAATCAGGCCAGTTCCTGACCGACTTTTTTCTCCGTGGGCAGAATTTGCTGAAAACTTGGCTCCAGGGGTAGTTCGACCCCTGAACACGAATATCACATCCGCTCAACCCGAAACCTCCTGGCGCCCGCACCACGGGCACCGGCGCCAAAATACCCCAAATCATTGGCGCCTGTGGCGCGGGCGCCAGGAAGTTTCGGGCTGAGCGAATGTGATATTCGTATTCTGGAGGTCAAACTACCCCAGGAGACAACATTTGAGCAAAATCTGCCCACGGAGAAAAAAGTCGGTCAGGAACTGGCCTGATTTCGGATGACTGGGGCAGTAAAGGGTAAATAGTGCCGAAATATTAAATAAAATTGCATCCCACGCTATGCTTTGAGAAGCATGAATGAAAGAAGCGTACTCGACTACGCGGGTCATCATCACCTTGTCAAGGACGAGATCGTCCTTGATCTGTGGTCAGGAACCGAAATTAGAACATCGAGTTTTCTCGGTCTCCTTCGATTACTATAGAATCGATCAACTTCCGTTCCGAGAGTTATGACAAGAATGCTGAGTTATGGGCAAAAGTCGGACCCTAGGCAGGACTCCAACCCGCACCGCTGACGAGGCGACTGGGATATCCATTACGCCACCAGGAGCCGCTCTTACACTCTCAACTTAATGGCTTTTCTTGCCACAGCCCTATAGCACTCACGTATCAGGTAGGGTCGGTCCTTATAGCGAACTTTTTCCATCGTCGTGAAGTGCGGGTTCAAGTTCCGCCTGGAATCGGACTTTTGCCCATAACTCAGTAATCTTGGGAAGCTAGCAAGAAGTTACGGTGAGCGTTGAGGACCACCGAAGCTACATAGAAGGTACCACAAGCATGCTGAGATATGGCTTGCAAAAGATAGATGGGAGGAACATTTGCAAACCTCCAAACCCGTAGGCGAGTATTCTGACACAGGGCGATTGTACAATGGGCTCTGATCTTTGGAGAGCCGTGGCGGTAATAGCAAGCAATTTAGAGCAGTGTAAGTAAAACATGCTCTCCCCACTGCGGTCCGAAGAAGGGCTTCTGCACGTTGGTCAATAGCTGGGCTCTGTCTTGAATGCTTGGATTTTGCATTCCTAACCAGTCTGATTTCAGTTGTAACGCCACCTCCTTTGCCAGCTGAAGCAGTGTCGAAATGGTCCAAAGATAGCCGGGTGAGAGATGAACCAAAGAGTAACCGTGCGATGGACGAGCTTTCGGACCTCAACGCACAGATGATTGAAAAGCATCGCCAACAAAATCCACAGAATCAGGTATTCCAGAAATCAAAATTGTTTGAAGGGTGAAGCAGAAGCTAGCCTCTTTCGCCGCGGATGATGGGGCGTGCCAATAAGGCTGGGCTTGGCGCGCCGCCAACTGTAGAAGCTGGGAGACAGCCATAATTGGTGGAAAATGTCTGGCGTCGCGCAAATCCAGCCCACCCGACACGCCACGCCTCAGCATCTGCAGCGGACTTGACTGTAAGTATAGCTGCAATCTGCCGTGCCCCTTCCGAGCACTTCCAGGACAGTTTGTTTTACAAGCACCATATTTTTCAGGAGGATCTTGCTTCTCTGCAAGCTAAATGTATGAAAATGGCTCCAGTTGCGCAAAAGGTGACATATTTACAATGCTTACTCTTTCCGCTCAGAAAAGTTCGATTAACTGAGACTGGTCTTTCGAGGAGCTAAGGAAGTTTGGGAGGGGAACGTCTCGAGACTGTACTTTGTCTGATCGTCTGCATTCTCTCAAGTCTTGTCGTGTAGCGGAAAAAGATAAGTGTTCTATGAGAGGATGCAGGGGAGCAGAGAAGTCTTCATCGCAGCGTGAACTCTTTCCTCTCTCAGAGCTTTTCTGGACAGTATTTAGACTTTCAATTTTCCAGTACTGCGAGAAGAGTGCCTTGACGAAAGGAAATGTTCACCGTTGCGCTGCCTATTTCCGTGATTGCTCCAGATTTTTCGGCGAAGCGGATCCACTTCACTCCATAGCAAATGCTTTCAGTTCAGCGGTACGTGTTTCATAGTCCCATTCAATTAGAGACACATACCGTGGTAATCGGTTTAGCGGAGGCTCACAGCCGTCGTGCTTTACACATTTACGCGCCTCTTATGTAAAACAGAATGGCGCACCAATAAGGGAGGCTCAATGGGTGTAGGTACCCGCCCATCCGATCATCACGGAATGTGTCATTCAAGAGGAATCAATTAACTAGTTATAATTTGGATGAAATATGACTTCTCCTCATTGGGCGGGTAGTCTCAGGATTAAGTAATTACTGGGTTAAGGTGCTCGACAGGTAAAGTTTGGTAACCAAACTCGTTAACAGTGCTCCTAGTGGTAATGGTATGCCAAAACTTAACTTACTAGATATCAGGCAAGTGGGGTTAGTGGAAGAGGTGAATGTGACTGGCTAAAATGATTTGAGGGAGCTAGAAAGGCGTTATCTTCAACATTCACCGTGGACAACAAGCCACTAATAAAACCTTACTTGATCCCATGAGTCTTTATCTGGGACAGTGAAACCTTCACGCTTTCTGTAAGTCAACTACATGTATGTACTTTTTCAGGTTAATCTGAACTACGCGACGATCGGTGTGAATGGAATACCGTACTATCCTATTAATGAAGAAGGTGGAGTTGGGTGTGGAAGTGGGCTCGAACATCCCATTCGGATCCTGGGGAGGAGGGTATTCAGATCACGTTGGAGTACGGTAAGAGACTTAACTAGGAATTCTGAACTCTCTCTCAGTCGGGTGTAGTTCGGTTCATTCAAAGCGCGGCGAGGGCGACGAAAGAGGCATCGCAAATAGCCGTGCGCGACATTCGCTCCACCACCCAATCGGTTCAACGTGGCAATCCTGCTGCGTGTCACGTCAGCTAAAGAAATACTCTGTTAGCCTGCCACGCCTGTATGTCTCTAACAACACCTATGACAACTGTATCCTTTATTCCAATGTCTGTAGGACCAAAAGTCAACTGCCCAGTTCATCTTCACCATGTGTGGGCTGTGCACTCCTTGTTTCTTGGGCCATGAAGCAGAGGAACGCTCTACTAGGTAGACAAAATAGGTCTGACCCTCCAGTATGAACAAGGATGGACTGTCCCTGCGACTGCATCGCCGAAGGAGATGAGAATACTGGACATCTTAGTCTGAGCATGAAGAGCCTACTTATAATAATGTGCTAAGATCCACCCAAGACTTCTTTTCCGCCGCGATGAAAAACTGAAAAAGTGCAGTTGTAAGATATGCAAGAAAAGGGATTTGGCTAAAATC